AAAAAAAAAAAAAAAAAAAAAACCTTGGATCTAGAGTCCAGACTCTTAAAAACATCGACAAGAAAAATTACTCTTGATTCAATCAGAATCTAGCTAAAATCAAGAACCAAGCCTCTCAATTTAAGCGGATTTCGTTTTGATTCAAGCAAAAATCCGATTGAATCAAGAGTATTTTTCTTGCCAATGTTTTCAAGAGTCTGGACTCTAGATCCAATGTGTTTTTTTTTCCAGTGTCTGTTAGAGAAGAAACCGGATTTTGGTGATAACTAGCCCATCATGCGTTCGTATTAAGTTTCTTTGGACTCTCTTGATGGCTGAAAATATACTTAAGAACGCTACATTCACAAATTTAAAAAATCTTGATTAGCTTTGTTGGTGCGTTGTTTGAAGTGATGCAACCTCATGGGTGTTCTGCGATTTTCACGTTTGACCAAACTTGTCGCTCTTGTTTCGGTCTTGCACTACCTTTTTCAACTCACACGGATGGTTGAAGTTTTGTCTCCACATCGTAAACGTCAAACCCACTCGAGAAAGCAAATGAAGATGATTCGCCGATTTTTTCCTGACATTTCTAGGTTTGCCCTGACTTTTTAAAATGACCTTACATTTCCCTGATTTCCCAGACACATTTAGGTAAAATTCCCTGACAATTGAACAAATACTTGATTGTTACAAAGACATTGCTGGAAATAGTTTCCAAGCGAAATATTATTTGACTATAACAACCCCGCAATGCTTTTTGCACATTATCTAGAGGTCCATTGTAAATATTCGTGCAATAATTTTTCCTGATTATCCTTTGCTTTGCCGGAAGGTTCGGACAAATTCGCGGAGGTGCTGAACGATTCGATCATGAAGAAGGTGGAGGAACTCGTGGAGAAGAGCGACAAGATCCTGGCCGACCAAAACATCAAAACCCCGATCGGGAAATACCGCAAAACCTCCGAGGAGATCAAGCGTTTCACCAGTCAATTCCTGTCCGATTTCGAGAAGGATCTCAAAGATAAAGTGCCCGATTTCCCGAGTCGCAGAGGGAGTCGCACCAGGCGATCCCGCTCCCGCCGCTCCTGGGACGATTAAAGCCCACGAACCACGGGCTGATTATTGACATCGATAGACAAAGCGATAGACAAAGAGGACGTAGGTAGTATAGAGCGATTATGTTGGTTGAAATGGGTGGTTCTTGTAGACTAAGGGAGAAAATGATGGACGAACTATGCGTTCTCTCGTGGGTTGCCGTTAGTTGGTCTATTACCTCCTCCTGCAACCACCCGCTTCCACCAATAACATCCCTCCATATCCCTTTTGTCTTTTTCGTCTCTAGCTTTGTCTATCGATTTCAATAATCAGTCCGCAGCGGGCTGATTATTGACATCGATAGACAGAGCGATAGACAAAGAGGACGTAGGGAGAATAGAGCGATCCTATTGGTTGAAATGGGTGGTTCTCGTAGACTAAGGGAGAAAATGGATTGCATTTTGCAAAAAGGAACCACTAGCATTGCAATGACGCTAATATTGTGCAACTTCATATTTTGCAATAAAATTGCGGAAATCGTGAAAAACTATGGAATATAGATGGTAATTTTTGTCTTAAATTTACAGTTTTAAGCGAGTAAAATAGAAACTATTAATGGATAATCGGGGTTTTCCTCCAAGACAAAAGAAGTTGCACAATCTTAGCAACATTGCAATGCTAGTGGTTCCTTTTTGCAAAATGCAATCCAAATGATGGACGAACTGTGTGTTCTCTCGTGGGTTGCCGTTAGTTGGATCGCATTTAGCAAAAAGGAACAAGCACGATTACAATTATGTAAAAATGTTGCTTCTCCATCATTATCTAAAAAATCTCCCTGAATAGCAAATAGTTTTGGCTTTCCACCAAAAAAATTGTTAAAAAAGGAAAATAATCGTGTACATTTTAATGCTGTACAGAAATTAAGTATTTTTGCAAGAAAAGGAGAAACTGCACCACTTTGAAAACACTGTGATGGCGCTGGTTCCTTTTTGCTAAATGCGATCCAGTTAGTCTATTACCTCCTCCATTGTCCATGTAATTGCAACCACCCGCTTCCACCAAAAGGATCCCTTCATATCCCTTTTGTCTTTTTCGTCTCTAGCTTTGTCGATCGATTTCAATAATCAGTCCGGAGCGGGCTGATTATTGACATCGATACGCAAAGCGATGAAAAGAGTGTGAAAAGGAAGAATATGAAAAGGGAATGGAGCGATTGTATTAGTTGAAACAGGAGGTTGTTATAAATTGAGGGAGAAAATGATGGACTAACAGTAGGGTACCTCGAAGGTTGCCGTTGGTCTTTTGCTTTCCTCCTTTCTCCATTCCAACCACTCACTTACACCAATAATAGGGTCGCACCATTTCCTCCTTGTCTATAACTTTGTCTTTCAATTTCGATAATCAGCCTTAAAGGACGAGTAAACTGCCGTGCTGAGTAAAAACAACCTATGAATTTGATTTTGTTGTGGGAAATTTGGGAACCTCCGAACGTTCACATAGCGTTTTACCTCAGCACTGCAGGGTACCGAGCGCCCTCCCAATAGATCCTTTACGGGCCTCTTGACCTAGGTGGAACTCCTTCTTTCAGAGCTCCGCCTCACAACCGTGGGGACGTGCAAGTCCTACTTTAGGGGAAATTTCCGGGAAGGAGATGTTGCATGTGTGAGGAATTAGCGATTTGCCTACTGATTATTATGTAAAAGTTCGTGAGAGACACGATGGTGCCACTGGTTTTCTCTGAAATCAACTCTTAAGCTCAAAAAAAGCTCTCAAGTTGAGGCCAAAATGGAAGGGAAATCCCACGCTATCCTGAGAGTCCACCTCTACATCAAAACAAACTCTCCATGCAAAGATAGGGAGCAAATACATTAGCAGGGCTGCCGTGATTTCAGTTTTAGAGTTCCCAAATAAAGTGGCAGTCCAGTCAATGTATTTGCTCCCTATCTTTGCATGGAGAGTTTGTCTTGATGGAGAGGTGGACTCTTAGGATAGCGTGGGATATACCCTTCATTTTGGCCTCAACTCGAGAGCTTTTTTTGAGCTTGGGAGTTGATTTCAGAGAAAACCAGTGGCACCATCGTGTTTCTATCGAACTTTTACATGAGAACCAGTAGTCAAATCGCAAATTCCTCACACATGCAACATCTCCATTGCGAGCTATAATATACACCTCTCCCGGAAATTTTGACATTGCTACACAAACACACAGGCAACAAGAAGGAGTATAACTGTTGTTTCATGTAGAATGTTGAATCTTACATGAAACAACAAGGTTAAAGTTTCTATCAAGGCCAGGATGCTAGTGAAGAGTCATTTCTTGCCCCTCAGATGAACACTCGATCGAACTTTACTGACAACCTCGGAAAAAATTGGACTTTACACCCGTACTTGAGAAAGCTTCCTTACTGTTATCGATGAATAAATGTAGTGGGGTTGAGCATAAGAGCCCTTACGGTGGAAACTCAAACTCTTCAGTAAAGAGGGGA